CCCCCCCCCCAAAAGTTAGGTGGCAAAATAAAAAATGGAGTGAAGATGCTTTGGGCTGCACCCCTCAAAGCAACAAACATAATAAACAAAATCCACAACTAGAGAGAGAGAGAGAGAGAGAGGAGAGAGAGAGAGAGGTTCATACCACACAACTTCAGAAGGGTGAACACTGTAGCAGCAACAAAGAAAACCATGGCGATCGCCACCCAGAAATGCTAGCAAGCATAAGATCATTATTCAGTTAAAGCCATCTTTTTGCATTCTCCACATTATTAAGAAAACAAGAAGAAAGTTTAACAGCTATAACCAAACTATTTTCCGATAAATATCCTTTTTTCCTTTAAGATAAGTAATACCAAGTTACCTTTTTTTTATATATAACATGAAGCTATAAGCAATACCAAGTTACTTGTGTCAACACCATAAAGCTTTGATGACACATCATTAAATCATTCAACCACAGCCAGATCTATTACGAAATGCGATCAGCAATAATGGTCCGCCATCTAAGAAGACATGATTTCATTTAACTAGCCATCGAGCTGGCTCTTTGAACAAGTCATTAGATTGAATTGGAGATAGAAAGACACTCAGTCAGTCTCAAAAAGATAGTTCTATCATCTTTTTTGTTAAACCCGAAATGGAGACAACATTTTTTAAACTGCAAATTTAATAGCAGTTTATATGGTACAAAAAGACGGAGCCTATTATACTCTTTAAAAAATATTTTTTGAGAATACTACTTTTTTTATTATATACTTAAAGCACACAGGGTCAAAGAAAAGACCCTGCATGTTCCCTGACAAATGCTAAACAACTCACATGTCATATCTTCTCCATGTAATCATTGGGATAGATAGGGGAGGAGGTCGAAATATGAAAAGGTAGTATCTTCTTCATGTAATCATTGGGATAAGAGGGAGGAGTCCAGAATATGTAAAAGGTAGACTAGTTGACTAAAAGAAGTCATTTAAACTTTGAAATAACATAGAACAGTATATTTTTACGGTATCCGGATTACTGGAGGGAAAATATTGCCTCAAAGAAAGAATTTGAGTCTTCTGCAACAAACATAAGATGATAGTTCGTTCGCATTTTGTGGAGGGATTAACAAACTAAAGTAGAAAAGTCTTCTAGTCACTTAGAAGTACGGGAAAATACTGCCAGCATTCTTATTTAACTGCTATATGCTAGATGATCATTGGATCAGAGTAATAGATCAATATGGTTAGGTATTCTGGTCCTCATAAAATTTAAGATCCCACTATCTATTAGCTTCTTCATTTCTGATCATTGCAATTTAAGGGATGAATACTGCATGTTCATAGTTAAGGGCAAAGGCCAACATTTTTAGATGTCTACAAGTAGGGAAAATAACAATGCATTTAGTGGTCAGTTATGCATTTTGTTAGCCTTCTCTAAGATAATGTTGATTTCAATGATACACAAATCTTACTTCTCTCGGTTATATATTGATACTACTGGGGACAAAAACATAGTTCAGATTACTATGCCTAGGAGTACAGATAGTGTCAGATGATCTCAACTGTATGGTCGACCATGATAATATATCTTACACTTGAACAAATTAAATTGCAATACGAATTCACAAAAACAAATTAAATTGCAATACGAATTCAGAAAATCAAGAAAATGAAAATCAGAAAAATAAGAATTCAGCTATGAAAACCTAAAGCATACTATTACTGTATCTCCAAGGATAAATAAATAAATGTGCCAACAAAAACTTGAATCTAACAACCATCTATTTTTACACTGTACAGTTGCTGCTGACTTATGAATATGTTTTTGTGTATTTTTGGTATTAACTGGGTAATGCCGCATAACACTAAAGAGGCCTTTGAGTGCTGGTGTAACTGGAGAGTTGGTAAGGCCATCAGGCCAATCTGGAAGATGATTCCTGCGAGTATTTTTTGGTGTATATGGTCAGAAAGGAACAACAGATGTTTTGAAGGTTTATCAACTCCAAATCATTCCCTCAAGGCTAGATGTCTTTTGTATCTTTATAGTTGGCATTACCTTTCCCCCTTAGATTCTCCTGACAACTTTTTGAACTTCGTTAGCTCCCTGGTACTAGAATAGTCTTTTTGTAATTGAGCTAACAGTGTCTTTTTTGCTTCCATAACTTTTGTATTATTATGCATCTTCTTGATGCATTGCCAGCAATGAAATCTATTATTACTTCATCAAAAAAAAAAAATGAACTTACAGGAAGCGTTTCCCATATTGCCTCGTCATTCATGCTTTCATCATCTCCAGGTAATAACGCCTTACACATTCTGCTCCAAATGGTACAAGGTATTTATCCACCAGTCAGACATGGCATATAAGTGAAAGGGTGAAGGTAGCATCCAAATACCATGATTTTTGATAAGCAAGTGTACTACTATTTCCATTCCATTATTGGTTATCATGCTTTTCATTATTTTACACACAATAGGTCATGCACAAAGAATTTAACAGCTCATATTGCAGAAAAGGACTAGGAGGGTGTTTGGATTGGCTTATTTTAAGTGGTTATTGGCTTTTAAGCACTTTTTAAGTTTGTGTGGTGTTTGGCAACGATAGAAGTGCTTAAAAGCACTTACTTTTAGGCTTAAAAAGTACAAAAATAAGCCAAAAGCCAAAAGTTGGGTATTACCAACTTATAGCTTTTGGCTTTTAGCTTAAAAGCTGTAGTTTTTATAAGCCAATCCAAACACCCTCTAGAAGGCAAGAAATATTAAAAGTGACCAATATGTTGAACAAATGACAGATTTCTACTCGGAGGCACAAGCAATGTTAACACAAACCCTATCAGGAGGCAAATAGTTTATTTTTGAAGCCTTTAATGGCATGAATTGCTAATATTCCTTAGAAATGAATATTTTTCTGTTGCAAATGCCATCTTTATTACACTAAACTGTAACAATGAAAAGCTATACAACAAAGGCTAGGCTCTAAGAGGAAGGGCATTATGGAGATTCTTTTAAGAATTATGGCAGTACAAGAACCACTAGATTGTCTTTTCATTGTAAAGCAATCAAAGAAATAAGTGGAAATCACCAAAAATATGTCAGCACATTACCTGAAGTTGTCAATGAGAATGATTAATTCAAATGCTAACAAGGGAAGAAAGACAATTTTTAAATTCACCGCTGCAGAATGGATGACTGCACAAAAACACAAGAGAAAAAGTAAGGACAATTCTCGCTAGCAAACTAATAGGATCTATAGGCACACCTTGAGATAGTACAAGAAAACTGAGAAGTAAAAAATATGTAGGAATCATACTGCAAAAGATTGTGGAGTTCGTATTTCTTACCATATATGCTCTCGAGATGTATACAAAGAAGTAGTTCAAATGCTATAAGCAAAGGTATCGCAACAACAGCATGACATGGTGCCCACTATCCACAAGGAGGCAACGGCGACAGAAGAAAGAACACAAAAGCAGAAGAGAAATTTGATAAGCACTTTTGCTTGGACAGATTTCCTTTTTCTGATCAAAATTTAAAGAAGATTACTGCATAAAGTCATACATTGCGATCATGGGGAACTGATGGAGCGGGCAGGGAGAATCTTCCTCGGGCAACAACAGCATGAAACAGCCATAGAGGGAAGAATACAATCCTGCATATCCAAGTGAAAGTCATAATGAGACATTTCTAAATCTAAACCTGGTAAAGGACTTCTTGTTACTGATAAAGGAAATTTAAGGGGCACTATACTAGTTGCTCCTTTGTCTATAAAAGGAATCTTTCCATCTCTCATAATAAAATTCATTCCAGTGTTATACAAGTGCCCCATTAATCCTTGTTCCCTACTCCCTAGATTGCATAACCGAAATTTCAAGAGAATATGAATGTTGGGGTTACCGCACCCGAGGTGTGGCCTAGTGGTCAGAGAACTATGAAATTTCATGTTAAAATACACTAGGTGAATTCTTCCCATTTACCTAAGCCTTACTGGCAGAGTTACCCGATAATTGTGCTGGTGAGAGGCAGCACATAGGTTTGTGCAAGCGCCGGCACCGGCACTGCCGTATTTAAAGAGGAAAAAAACATGCATACAAAGAGAGGGCTGTTCACTCGACCACTCATATACACCCAATTAAGCTTAATTTTTATATATATAATAATTGTATTTCCTAGTTTAATCTCCATAGTCAAACCTATGAACAAATAAGTTTTCCTAGGAAGAAATGAAACAGATAGTTTAAACAAGCCATATAAGCCCACGAAAATACAGGCATGAGAATCAATTACTATAACGAATTATCATCTAGAATTCGTAAATTAAATTAAAAGTGGGGAAAAAAAACTGACCACCAGGAGTAATCGACGACGTGATCGAGCTTGAGAACCAGCAAAACAGTGAAACACAAAAGCAAGGTGTGAGCTGCCAGTGCCTGAAAAGATTTCCCAACTCTTCTCCAGCTCATTGTTTTCCGTTCACACACAGTACTACTAGTCGCAGATATATGTATTAGCAATCAATATATACGGAATAAATTATAGTACTCCACAATTGTACAATTTTTTGAAGAAATAATATTTCGAGTGAATTCCAAGAAAAGATCTTTAGGGTTTAGACGAATTGAAAGGGGGTTGGGGGTGGGAGAGGAAAGTAGCAGTTGCGGGAATGGAAAGCGAAAGGGGAAGTTTCATATCAACTCAACACAAACGGACGCCATTAAAATAACGTTGATATTGTCGAATAATGATGTTTCTTTATATTTAGAAGTCCATACAAGACAAAATCTTATCCTACTAACCATTTGAGTCAATCAATCAATAAATTTTTTCTCTTTATTAATCATTCAATTAAATTTTTTTTGATGTTATGACTAAATATTTACCCGTACTAACTATTTTTATGGATTCAGATAATTTCAGTTTTAATAACTAAAGCTAACGTGAGAATAATTATGATTAAGTAATATGTATACCAAAAGGTGACTTTAGGTAACACTTTGAGCCGGCTAAAAGTTTGGCTCGGATAGTTAAAGTCAATGTTCAGCTATAATTTACATCATGTTAGTTTTTTAAAATTAATTTTTTATTAAAGAAAACACAAAATTCTTAATTGTCTATGCTTACAAGGGAATCTCACATAAATAAATAGTCTCGCTGTAGGCATGTAGCTTATGTTGTTCTTTAGTGTTAAAGAATATTTAAATTTTCGTTTTGAGAGCATAAACTAAACAAATTAAAAAGCAGGTCTTAGAAAAGGAAAAAAACTTAAATTTAAATTTTCTAACTCGTAGAGTTATTCTTGGGATTTTTAAATATTCAAATACGTTAATTAGGCTTACATTTAAAAAATCTACGTAAAATGTATTATTTCTTTCGTGTTGATAAAACTGGGGGATCAATGGTTGGGAATGAGACAAGTAAAAGAATGTCTACGTCCTATTCCAATTTCCAAGTGTGTAAATAAAACACATCCACCTCAAAAATAATCTTTCCTAGAAAAGACATTTTCCATCTCCATCAAGAATTCACAATCAAGATTTTTTCTTTGGGGAAATCTGGGGAAAATGTTCAAATTGATGTGAGCCTAAATATATCAATCCATTGATAAATACTAAGGCGACGCGTTTATCCCAATCTCAAGCTCACTAAGGGACTATAAGAGCCAAGAGATTAATAAAATACATTGCAGATTCGTCGTTACGTGAAAAATATTATGTAAAAGGCGAAAAGATAAAAAGATAAAAATAATAACCTCAATGGAAAGGAAATGATCTCCATGACGAATTATATTTTGGTTAATAAAAAAATAATCATACAGAGATCTATTATATTTTATTTACTCATAAACAATTGGAGTTCCAACAAATTATTTTACAAATTTAGCCCGAAAAAAGAAAAAATATACAACTAAACCAAATAGACATTATATCTATAGAAGAAATTAAAAAGAATAAAAGTTGGGGTAAAGTCCACGTTGTATATTAAGATGAAGTAAGATAAATACATAGTTGTAACAAATAAATTATTATATATTACCATGTAACAAAACGATTGAAAAATAACTCATTTGGAAGGTAATTTTTGATTTTTCTTCACTTCCACGCGTTTAAAAGAGAGTGATCCACACTCTTTGCCACATCAACATTCAGAGGAGTGTTCGCAACAAATTTTTGTAGTACAAAAAATAAACTGCAACAAAAATAATATAAAGAAAAAAAGAGATTTTATTGATAAATATTTGTGAGTACAATCCTTTGTATCCCTTGATTCTCCTCTATGAAATTCTCAGTGATTCGAGGCTTGAGAAGCGTCTTTCTCGAATGTAGGACGATGTAAACCTCCTTGCGATGTATTTAATCGCCAAGAACGTTGAGTAGCACTTTGTTGTTTCGGGTTGATCTCCGGGAAAAACTCCGTTGATCACTCCTTTGTTGAAGAACTATGCACTTGATGATTGATCTCTCTGTTTGTGGATGCCTTCACCAATTGCGGAATGCTCTTCTCCAACTCTGAATGTCCCCTGAGAGTTATGTAACCCGTATTTATAGTTGTAGAGGATGGACAGTCCAGTTACATATGAACTCTCTTGCTTGATTCTGATTGGCTCATGTCATTTTAGCCACTTGGCGACCTGTGGTTGGTTCCTCCTTTTTGACTTGGATTGCCACATCATTTAACACGTGGCGTCATCTTTTTGGCTTGCAGTTTGACTAGATATGCCATGTCACTTGACACGTGGCATGAGTCTGGGCCTTAAGATGAAATGGACCTTGGGCTTGAAAATAATAAAATGGACTAATTTAACGTGTAAAGCCTATATTAATAATATTAACCCAATTGAATTTAATCCAAATTTTATATGGATTAGACCCAATAAATTTTATATGTCTACGGATGCCCCCTATTTCAAGACTTGTTGGGGTGTAGGCTTGCTGAAACGAATGACGAGACTTGAAGTACCAACGAACGTTGATATTTTTGTTTCATCACTTGTGGACTTCTACCGGTCAAATCTGAATTTTTATCCAGTTGCACATTTATGTGAAGTGCTAAATACAAGCTCCAAGCAAAAATTAACCTTCCAATACTTCGGTAGACGAACACGTGCGTGCAATGTAATTTGGTTTGGAAGTAGCAATTGTAAACTATAATGATGAAAACTTCTTGCAAATTGTCTGACAACTTTCCATGTTTGTCTCGCGTTAGGTCTATTTCCTTTTTGACCAATTTGAATTTTGTCTCAAAGTTTCCATATAGGACTTGCTATTCAACTACTAATCGAATCTTATTTTTAGAGGAAAGTTCTTGTTCACCAAGCTAACAACAGCTGACTTAACACTTTTATAAATAAAAGAGGTCCTAGAACGTTTTCAATGAAGGTTTTATGCAGTTTGTCCTTTTGCTTTGGCATCTATTTACCGCCTCCTCGGGTAACATTTAAAATTCAGTTCGTAATCTGCCGTTTTATAGTACTCAGATTTACACGTTTAATTGTTAGAGACTCCAAATAATGAGCCGCTTGATTTTGCTAAAGGTTGCAACATATCCAAGAATCGGAGCAAAAATCCTTTTGTACCATCTTAGGTAATGTTTTTAATTTTGTTTCAGGTGCTGCAGCGTTGATCTTTCAGCTTTGCGCGACTTCACAAAAAGCTTCATATCTTTGTGTAAGAACATCGGAATCACGAGCGGTTTGCGGCTATAGAAACTAGACTCGGAGTACTGCAGTATACCAAGAAGTTGGATTTAAATTCGCGTAGTATTATACCAGGCGAGCTTCCTAAACTTGGTCCAAGTTCTGTCGCGCTCGACATTTCAGCTTTGCATGCTCTTGCTAAAAAAATGCATATCTCAAGATAGGAGCATCCGAACTACGAGTTGTTTACACCGTTGGTAAGAAGAATCGGTGATAGACAACATCTATAAAAGTCGAAGCTCCAGCCCTTTTGATCCAGAGGCAACAAATCTTTGATCGATTAAGCGCCGAAATCGCGAGGATTGTTCGGGCAGTTTTTTCCCCCCTTTTTTTTCATTGCAGGCTTGGAGAATATACATGGCGAGTTCTCCAATCTGCATCATTAGAAGAAGTGGATGATCACCACTCCTTTTTTGTAGGGAAGAGGTTCATGAAGCGCACAATCCATCGAGATTTGACAGAGAAGTGCACGTCACAATGCTCACCATCCGCATTGAAGCGTCGTGACATTGACACCGAGGACTCCCAAAATATTTTCTTTTGCAGGATTTTGAGAGAGTTCCAGAGATCTTGATGTCCCTCAAAAAATGCATTGCGAGCGAACCACTCGTCTCTTTGTTGCGCTTGGCGAGAGAGACACATGAAGTGTCCTTTCAACATCAGCGACGAAATCCCTACTCTTGGAGGCTCGGAGAGACCCTATCTCATCATTGGAAAGCGCAATATGTACCATATCGCATCATTGTAGGCTAGCGAGGAAGACAACTGGAGTAGGCCTTTCCAACTTCGGCAAGCATGCACCTGGCACATCTCTGCTGCTTTGACTTCATAGCATTTCATGCTCTCATTGAAAAAATTGTATCTTGACCTAGGTGTGTCCAAACTGCAATCTGCTTGATTCTACATAATAAAAACTTGCACCACAGCGTCATATCAAAAAAGTTAGGGCCAAATTTCATCAGGATAGGTCGGAATGATTATCGAAGGCGATGCACAAGTCTGTCATTTCGGCTTTACAGCACTGCAAGCTGTCATTGGAACACACATATCTCAAGTTAGGAACGTCCAAATCGCTAGCTATATGTGTCACTGGAAAGAAGACTCAGAGATAAGGAAATTCCCAAAATATCATGAAAGGATTCCTAGTAGATTAGCCGCAACAATATTTTGAAATTGACCCATTTGTCTGCCGGACTTGCTATTCAGCTTTGTGCGCTATTATGAACAAATTTATATCTCGAGCTAGGACTCCAAATTGGGATCCATTTGCACTGTTAGAAAGCATACTTGTAGATCTGCAATACATATGAGTTTCGTGGCAGAACTTCTTTCGAGCTGGAAACAGAAAATTCTCAAAGTCCACCTAGCTGCAGACTGCAGTAACTTTCAGATTCATGTAGTTCCGGTGAAAAAAAAATCGTATCTTGAGCTAGGAGCCTCCAAATTGTAAATGATTTGTGTTATTGCAAACTAGACATCCAAATCTACAACATATAAAATATGAGGAGCTGAACGTCTTCCAAATGGACTGCAGTAGTTTTCCAAAGTTGATCTCATCGTTTGTTGAGCTTGCTTTCCAACTCTATGCTCTCTGAGTTGTCCTACAACTGCTTTTTCTTCTTTTTCTTGAAATTGACTCTACAACCTTGCATGTAGTATATTTGGCTATCATGCGTCACAAATCTTATATCTTCATTTATTTCTTTTGTAGACTCGCAAATAAGTTCAAAAGGGTCCAGATATCAGACCGAGGTGTCATACAAGATGCGGAGCCACCCCTTCACCAACTGTTGCACTAGATTTGTTGATAGTCTTGAAGTTCATAGATGGCGGCTCCCATGGTGATTGAAGATTTTTTACCCGTACTTACTATTTGCATGGATTCAGATAATTTCAGTTTTAATAACTAAAGCTAACGTGAGAATAATTACGATTAAGTAATATGTATACCAAAAGGTGACTTTAGGTAACAATTTGAGCCGGCTAAAAGTTTGGCTCGGATAGTTAAAGTCAATGCTCAGCTATAACTTACATC